CACATCGCTACTATTTAATCTCTTTTACTGCCAACCGTATACGTCATATCGTCACGGAAATGCCCGTAATACTATTGCGCTCTTAAACTTAATACTTAAGATTACATGGACTTTATCTGATGTGTGACGTATATATTTTTTTTTCAACAAACGCACCTTCATCAGGGTTAATCGCGCGCTGCGAGCGAGACGAGTGGGTATAACGGCACCGATATTGCATGCGGTTACATACCCCGGGCATTCGATAGCGTCACGACGGAATCGTATATATTGCCCGACTGATCGTTCCGTTTCGCCATCTGGGTTCATGACTCTCACGTGACAATAACGTCGTTGTCGTGACTGCGATTTAGCCAGAAAGTACGACCGTCGAACGTGCCTCGGACATCTTTCTAGTGCGCGCGCGATGCATGCGAGGCGAGGCGAGGCGAGGCGAGGCGAAGCGAGGCGAGGCGAGGCGAGCAAGCGAGCGAGCCTGTGGCCGCGGCTCGAAGTTCGTCTCTCACCCTCTTTATAACGGGTCGATGGCGCCGTCCTCTATAAATTAAATTCGATGCATCGAATCTCTCCCTCCCACTCCGAGAGCGCGCGCTCTCCGTTGATGCGATTCGTTCCCTCGTTTCTCGTGATTTTTCGCCGCGACGAAACGGCCATCCGAACGGAGCGTCGTCGGACGAACGTTTAAATTTTGCAACGCGCGGCGACGAGCTGCATATTAGATTGTCTCTTATTCAAAGTGTCACGGCCGCGATGCGCCGCACTTAAGGAGCGAGACCGGAGCGGAGTGAGACTGGTCCCGCGCGTGAGTGGTTCCAGCAAACAAATTGGAGAGAGAATTTATGCATTGCGTTATAAGAGAGAATTTTTCTCGAAGTAAGCTGACTACGCGCTGGTAATGCATATACATAGATCATCAGGTATACTTATCAGTTAAATAGTAATGAAAGGAAAAGCGCGTGAATATATGCGTATATACAGAATATTCATCGGAAACAGTTTGAATGATTTTTTGGACGACAGTTGTCCCATCGAAATCGATATAATTTTGCACGTGAAAACTTTTTATCGATTTATTTGTCGCAGGTACTTAAAAAATTGCAAACTATTTCGATAAACATTTTGATGTATATACAGAGTCAATAAGTACAAACACAATTTTCAATGTTTTCAGAAACATTATTATGATTTAGATTAAAAATTGCGCACTCAGTTCAGAAATATATATGATTCCTTGGTGAAATATTGAGTGAGGAAATGTATTTGTACTTCTCGAATAAATGTAATGTAATAGATCATTGTGTAAAATTATGCATTAATTCCGAAAAATTGCTTGTCGATTTTAGTAGATCATCAGTCATTATAAGATTGCATTTTAACGTCATATGGAAAGCGATATTTCTATAAAACTTTGACTAACGATTCAAAGACAGTTTCCATTCCATCGTAATTAAATTCTTCTTGCATAATTCTGTCCAATTAGATGACCGTGTTTTGCAAGATTCAATGATATTCTGCGTTATTAATACGCGCGGTGGCTCTTTCGATGCGGAATTCCTGCCTTCGTCGCGGAGACGTCCGCGGGATCGTGCGCGAATCTGCATTTTTCATGAAACCTACTTGGTGTAGATCGCGAATTCTAAGAGTCACGAGCGCGACGCGGAAAACATCGTAGGCGACATACAAATTGCGGAGCCAGCCGGTGTTGCCGTCCGTGACTGGACGGCATAATTCGTATAGACAGTACGTGTTACCGATCAAGATAATTTTGATTGGAGCGACGCCGTCGCACGCGGGGCGAGTTTCTTTCCGCTTTTTGCGTCGCGCGCGATTGGCCGCGCGTCGACGTCTTTCGCGATGCCGCCGCGCCGTATCGCGACGTCTTTACGCGATGATCCTCAAAAAGTGAATCCGCGCGCGCGATGACGAGGCCGTGCCGCGCATGCCATGCGCGTGAATAACATCGGCGCTCGTTACGCAATGCCGGTCGCGACATTTCGCGAGGGTCCAATTCACGGAGCTCCGCGAAGCGTCACGAAGTTTTTCACGGAATGCTAATCAGGAGCCTCGCTTAATTGCTTCTCAGTTTTTAATCGCAAGAAAAGTACAGTTTATAGATAATATATCAGGGATTGAACGTGACAAAATTCGATTCTTTGGTTTGTTATAAATTATAACGAACGAACGAGTATAAATTCCTTTTTCAAATAAAAGAAACGTATATCCGTGACACGGTCAGAAATTAACAATTAAAATTGAACACACTCTTGTTTCGTTCTCGTGACGAATATAAGGTGGAGTATGATACGCAAGACGTTTCGTAGGATTAGCATTAAAATCCAAGAGTTTGCGAATTCAGCTGAAATGGAAATGACTTAGAAATGAGTTTTCGTCAGCGAGAATTTGACCCGATGACATGATCTACCGCAACTTAAGAATTTTAAAGGTCTCGCTAAGGTCTGAAATTAAAATACTCGGAAAATAAAATGTTAACCCAACAACGCATATTGCAATGTCTACCTGCAATCGAACAATTTAATTTGTATAGGAAATAATCTATTTTTTATTTTAATGTTAAAAGAAAATGGTAACCGTTGATTTTATATCACGTGTTATTTTCGTTTTCTATTTTTCAAAAGCCGTGTTTTCGATTGTGATTTTTTTTGCGTCGCGAAATTCGGAAAATGTAAAACGGTAAGGTGACTCTCTCGCAGGAGATACTTCTATTCAAAACGGGTTCTCGAAGGCACAAGCGCGTCAGAAGAGTTGGCAAGCGCTTGCGGCGGAGGACAATCAATAGAGGCTCGCATGTAAGAATGCATTAAACCGATCTACGAGCGTAAGACAAAGCGGCCATGTGACTGGAACAGGTTCCGGGGGAGCCGAATGCGCGCGTGTGTATGTGTGCACGCGCGTCCGTGTATCCGAGCTCTACGAAATGAGCCGAGCGTTCGCTCTAAAGATAGAAGTTGATGTGTCTTCGGCTAACGCAACACGTAGCCTTTAAATCAGAGTGCGAGCGCGAAACAAAGACAAATGGCGCCGCGATCGAGCGCGAGAGAGATTCGCGAGACTATTTGATAAGCGCCGCTATTATCGCGCAACGCCGTATCCGCCCGCCGGGAATGCTCAAGTGTTCCTCAAGCATTGGCTCACATTTCGGCGGACTTGCACGTTGAGTTTTCGATCGGTCAGATTTATAATTAACGCGTTCGTTTTGTTTCTGATGTGAGTAACGACGTTCCAAGAATATCCTGACAAATTATGAATGACAGAATGATATACACACAAACACATGCCCACATGCACACACATATACACACATATAGCGATATTGTGAGAAAAGAATTGTCAGGCGCGTTTGCTGCGAAAGTTTATGCAAAGCGTTTAGATCAGTAGTAAAGTAACCAGTACTTTCATCGTAGCAACGCGAGCAAAATGTTGAAGCGTAATGAAGAAGGTATCCCCAATTTAGCTAAATAATGCAATGGAATTTCTAGATTCGCGACGGCGCTCAAAAAATCTCAGCATCGCCGAGAAGGCACGCGCTCTCTCGCGATTAACTATGATAAGTCACACGTCAGAAGCGGACTGCTTGCGTTACTGCGGGAGTACTTTACGATGTATACGAGCCAAGTTGCCGCCGCTCTCGCAGTTAAGGCGTTGCCTCGTATCTCGAATATCAATGTTAATCGTAATGGGCGATTTAACCTCGTCAGTATGCGCGCGTTCCATTTTCCTACCCGACACGCGTTGCCGTGGCACACGAACTCCGGCGGACGTATGAATGACGCGGGGAGGGAAAAATGATCGTGCTTGCGCCAAGAAAGTGGCACCGTTCTGCTCGCGATCGCCGCGGAGTTGAAAAGCCGAGGAGACTGAAAGTACTGATGATCGGAACGACGATTTCGCTGTGCCCGATAGGGCTACCGTTGCTGAGTTTCATATCAAATTTTTCCATTTGGAATACACGCGGTTACTTTTCGTCTCATCGACATAAAAGTGAGAAAATAAAAATCCGAATTAAAGGCAAAATTGCAATTAATAATCTATATATTCTTTTCAATGCAGCTGCCAGAATTTCTTTCATTTCTTCGTTAACAAGAATTTAAAATTAACAAATACCTTCTTCGAATCGTCATATATAGATGCTCACCTTATCATATTTGATTATCCTCATTTCTCATACGTCTTACGAGGAGCGCTCTAGAACAGCCCGAAACGAGAGCCAGTTGAGTGGCCTTTATCCTCCCTCCGTCTTTCCGAAAGATCGAGTCCGCGAAGGAAGTCGAAACTTTTGCGGCGCTCTGTACCCGGTGCCACACCGTCGCAGGTACAGAGGAAGAAGAGGGAACGGGATAGTGAAGAGAAGGCGGAAAGAGACAGAATCGGGCGCGCACGTAAAATGTGCAATTGGACCAACGGCGATACCCACGATGACGACGTCGATGACGAGGGGAGGACGATGTACACAACACGGCTTGGCGTTTCGTGGCTCTCTCGGTGGCCTTTGCAGAGATGCGCGTCCGCGTGCACGTGCGCGCACACGTATACACGCACGAGCGTATGCACGCGTGCACTTTGGAGAACGGTGATACAGTGGAGCACTTGTGTGCGTCGCCGCTTCATTGTCGTCGTCGTCGTCGCCGTCGTCGTCATCGTGGTCGCCGTCGGCGTCGTTGACGACGTCCACGACGTCCGGATGATGGTGATGATAACCGGTCGCGATGGTGTGACGGCGAGCGTGGAGGAAGGTCGCGGTGGTGTTGGTAGCGTGCGATGGTGGCTGGTAGTGGTGCGTCTAGTTGCATCGTCAACAGTAGTAGTAGTAGTAGTATAGTAGTAATAGTGGTGATGCCGGCGGCGATGACGGACGACGGTGGTAGTAGTGGTGCTACGGTGGCGGTGGTGGCGACGGCGGCGGCGGTGGTGGTGGTGGTGGTGGTGGTAGTGCCGGGTGGTGGTGGTGGATGCCGTAGATGATGGTGGGGTGGTCGGATGGCGGCGCTCCCAGCGCGCAAGCCGTGCCGTCCGACGCGGATGCAGTTACGGGAGCGCAGCGCGACCCAACGCAACTCGACTTAACGTCGCATATCCGGAGCCGGATCAAACGTCGAGGCCTGGGCAAGTGGAGTGCGTGTGCGTGTGTCCGTCGTCTCGTCTCCCTCTCGCCCGTGTTTAACGCGCGAGTACCGGGAGCAGGGGGAGAGTGGCGCGAGGGGTGGACAGAGAGTGCAGGGAGTGAAAGAAAGAGGGAGAGACGCGGTTGCGGAAAGGAAGGAAGGAAGGAAGGAAGGAAAGAAATCGGAAGGAGAAACGGAGCTCCTTGGTCCGCGCCTTGGGTCGTTGCTAGAGTGAGAGAGACAGAGAAAGACGGAGAACGCGAGGGTGATCGTGAAAGGGTTGAAGGGCCGCGAAGTGAAAAAAAGAGGAGAGAGATCCCATCGCGCTGATCGAGACGCGAAGTCGTTGTCGCCGCTGCCGCCGCCGTCATTGTTGTTATTGTTGTTGTTGTTGTTGTGCATGCGCGCCGGATTCGGTTCGGATCGCCGATCGTAATGAAATAGTCCTCGATCGCGAGTTCGTCGTCGATTTTCATCGGCCGCCCCGTCGTCGCTACGGGCTGTCACGGTAAAGAGGACGAGGAGGAAGAGCACGAGCGACAGGAGAACGACTGGGTGGAATCGGCGAGTGAGAGAAGAAGAGATCACTGCTGATTGTCGTTGTTAATCGTGGTAGTACCCGCGACAGTGTTGTCGCATCACGATCGCAAGGGGTACGGAGACGGAGGGAGAACGCCGGTGATCCGCGAGAACCGTGTAGACACGTCGCAGCGGAACGGAACTGGAGCAACAGGCTCCTTCCAGAGAGCGAGAGAGAGAGAAGTTGGTGAGGAGGGGGTGTGGACGGGGGTGCATTGGTGCATCCGTCGATCGTCGCGGCGCCCGCGCGCCCGCGTGTCATCAGCCCGTACGACGTGGCTCTTGTTTCGCGATCGCCCGGTGCTCCGTTTTCGCGAGTGCACGTCTGGAAGAGGAGTCAACACGGAGTAGGGAGACTTCTTCGGAACTAAGATTCTCGCGGAACGGAAGAAGGATGTCGTCGATAAAGCGTGCCGATCGCGAGGACCGGCTGCTCGACGCGTCGGCGAGCCGCCGTGAGAAGCTCTGAAGAAGCAGTACACGCGTGAAAAAAAAAAGAAAAGAAGACGAAGGAGCTCGACGATTCTTCCTCGCCGAGAGTGAGTAGTCGTTGTTTCATTCGCGAATCGTGAAGTCGGTGGAGGAAAGAAAGGGAGAGGAGAGAGAGAGAGAGAGAGAAAAAGGGAGGGGAAAGGAAACGAGAAAACGCGTTTGTTAACGGCACTCCGAAATTCAACAATTTCCTACGAGCGCGCGTCAATTAGAGATATACGCGAAACGGAGTGACGGAGTACCGGTGGAAGAACGAAAGAGAGGTGCATGTGCATGTGCATGTATGTAGATCATGTGCGAGTGAGAAGGAGTGTCCTCCGATACGCGCGCGCGCGCGCGCGCGAGTGCGCCTTCTCGTTCGCGCTCGCGCGTGTGCGTCAAAGGAGAATGTGCACGTGTCATCGTATGTGCCTCTAGGTGCGCGAGGAGAGGAAGCGAGAGAGAAAGAGAGAGAGAGAGTGAGAGAGAAGAGATGGTGAAGAGAGAGAGAGAGACGAAGAGAGTAGAGTTATAAAAGAGGGGCCGATCGACGGTCCCTCCGCGCGAGGCCGCACTACCGTCGGTTCTCTTAGACACCAAAATGGCCGAAAAGATAGTACGCTCGCAAGCGCGAGCGTATCCTCCGCGTTGCGAGTGCATTTACGAGACGCGCGGATGACGATCAAATAGATCGCATCGTCGTCAGATGGGGAGGGATTCGGAGTCGGCACCGTAATTGCTCCGAGAGACGCCTCCGCCGTCATTTTTGTTATCGCTGTTTTGTCTACGATCATCTACCCTGCGACGACTTGTCTCTCTTTCTTTCTCTCTTTCTCTCTCTCTTTCTCTCTCTCCCTAGCGGCGAATTGACCCCGTTACGATCGTCACAGGCAAGTTATTTCGCACGCCGTTTCTGTCTCTCGATGTCACTCAAGTTTTCTCATTGCCGATGTGGGGACGATGTCGAACGATGCGTTTCTGGGAAATTAGCCGTTTGAGTGATCGAAACTATCATTTTCCTGGATGTACTCGAAACAGCCTTTAATAATCCAAGATAATTACGGAGACCAAACAATTTTTTTTTTTTTAATTCTTTTGCTTCTATTTTATCAAAGCAATTCAAAGCGCAATAAGTTAATTTTGTTCAATTATGAAATTTAAATTGTTGGTAGAATTTTCTGTATATCTTCACTCTAATTATCATCTATTTGTACTGTATAGGTCAGTTTTCTGCATTTGCTTATCAGACTTACGTAAATAAATAAAAGAAACTTGAAATTCAGTGAAAGAGAAGTAAGCTAATTGAAAAGGGATGAAGAAATGCACAAGGATTCATGAATCAACGTAAAAAGATAAATAAATTCCGAAAAAGTAAAAATGAACAAAATCGTGAAAAAGATCAAAAATAAAATATCCAGAGTCGGATTAGAATAGAGTACTAAAATGAACCGACTGTCATGTAATTGAAAATTGTTGTTTATACAAATTTTATATTTTGCATATTTGTAATACAACGTCAACATTATTGTATATATATTACAAAAAATGTTCCTATACTTTCTTTCACTTGGTATTTTCTCAATTAAAAAAAAAAAAATTATAATAATACATATAATAGTATGTGTACGCCTAGTAAACGCGATAAATTATTGCGTGAAGCAGTGGTTCAACTAGTGAGTCTCGTAGAAGTGAGCCGCATAATTATCATAAAAGAGAAGCGTAAAACATTTCTCCTTTTCGTCGGAATAGCCGCCGTTATCATCTTTTTCGCATATAATTTCGCGCTATAATTTTCTCGACGATTACATATAAACACGACAGCTAAAATTTCTGCCGGTACGCACTGTCTGCGTAATATCGAATCATAATTTCGCCTCGATAGAAAAGCATCGTTGTAATTATTAATCCGCGAGTTGTTTCACGCGAGCGAATTTGATCCAGATCGATTCCAATCGCGCCATTGTGTCGGATAACGTTTACCAAGGTTCTTTTGTGCTGGTGAGTTGAAAAACACACGTTGCTCTGGTGGCGGGGCGCGCGTTCTCCCTTAAAATCAATGCGAATCCGTAATGATTTGCGCTTTGAGGAATGGAAACATCAAACATTTCTGATTTTATTTGTCATCCGCTTCAGACAGGCGTACAATTACTCAAAGTGTGGCGAGATCGAAGAAAATTCGCGCGAGAAATAAATCGTTGATGTACGTTTGGACAAAATAATAGTCGAAACTGGCAGGTGCGTGATAATTTATTCTCTCGACTTAAAATTTGTCAAGTGACGCTAACGGTATTAAGAAGTGTATTAGTACGTATCAAGCACGTTATTCCAAAATGCGAAAAAAGTTTGTGAAAAATATAATTTTCTTGATTCGAAAGTTGTCGTCGTACTTGTAGCGCGACCTGGTATATTATTAATGTCCAACGTGCGATATCATTCGGGATAGAGAAACGCGTGACAAAATCGACAGATAGCTGATCCGCGATCCGAGTCAAAAATTGTGCGGCTTGAACGGGCGTCGAAGGATGCGAGACTCTATATGCAACGCGCCGCGCGCGTCTGTCAGTTTTATCGAGCGAAGCCGGTCGTCACGTGTTCCGCACGGAAACCTGTCGCTCCGACAAGTCGGAGAGACCGGAACCTCGTTGTCTCCGACGTTACCGACGTGCATGGGACGATGCGCGGACGTCCGAAAGCTGAAAACGCCCGAGATTTAAATGCGCGTACACGCCGAGGCGCAAATCGAAATTCTTTCGTCCCATGTCGGATCTCTCGGCACTGCACACTGGCGAGGCGCGCGCGCGCAACGTCGTTCCGTTCGAAAATTCTGCCAATAAATTTCGACCACTACTTTTTGATATTTCCTGACATGTCCAAACGCGGACGGTGGGATAATCCGCGAAATCCCAGGGACGATGTTACGTGCAAATATCTCTCCTCTTCGTCAAGCGATTTTAATTCCCTTCCGATTTGGATTTGACACGTTTCGTCCTCGATCTTTTCTCGTAGCTCGATCTCTTCTCAAACGTCAGAGTCTACATGATCACTCTCGAGTCCTCAAGTGCAATAACCTCCTCGAGTGCATTCGTATGTTTACCAGTGAATTTTGTGCATTTGATATAGCGTATTTTGTTTAAGAGGCGACGTCCTCTTAGTAACGTTGAACAACTTTAAATTTGCGAAGAACGTCGCGAGTGCCGGTGTGCACGGTTTTCGTACGCCTTGCAGCACGGCAAAGGCTTTGCCGGAAGGGCGGGAACGCAGCCGGCGTGCAACGCGCGGCGGCGGCGGGGTACTACTCCTCAGAATGCAATTTTCTTCCGATAACAGAGGCGCGATCTATCGAGTAAACAGATTCCTGGATGTTTACGTTCTACGAACCAATTACACTATGCCCAGTCGAGCGATGCTTAGCGCTTGGTTCGCGGGGTAATTAGAACGTGCATGTCGCAAAAAGAACGCACAGGCTGTGTGCGAGGCTAATTCGATGGAAATGCGTGTAAACTGGCGTAAACCAGCCTCGCCTGACGCTCCTTTTTGTTTTCTCGATCGAACCCAATATTTTTCAAGCGAGAACCTCTGCGGCGATCTCGCTCCCGATTCCTGATCGCACCGGCACCGCCGCCGTTTCCGGCTTATACCCGGCGAAAGCGTGAATCGTGGACTTGCACAATTATTACGTTAAGTTATTATATATTGTTATATAATATTACACTTATTACGAATTACAAAATAATTTTCATATGCCTGCCTGCACATGCATCACGATAAATTAATCGCTAACTTCGTCCCGCCATATTTAATTTCTAAGGAAGAAAATGGTGGATTGTTATATGCATAAAAATTATAGATATTATATAAAAAATTATAGATTAATATATAGATTAATTCGATTTTATGAATAGGCTGTTTGTGTCGCGAGCAAAGTCCATTTAAGTAACATAATTACATCACTTAAGCAACGCAATGATAGACTGTGGCAGCGTGGAAAAAGAAGAGAGTAACAGTGTAAGACAGAAACTTTATTAACGACGCAGTAGACCATGCAGAAGAGACACGTGCGTCATGATTTATGGACAAAGCGATATAAAACAATCGCTCCTCACGTTTGTGACGTCACATCGATTTTAAAAATGAGCGAGCCACTCGTTCGAGTGGCTGCCTCCCAAAGTCCGGCGCAAAGTTTAGGCCGGCCGATCTCCGCGTCAGTCACCGCGCGCGATCTCTTTGTCGCTATCCTCGGGAAGTTCGACTCATCGAAGTGACTCACGATGTGCCGCACGCGCGTGCGAGCGTGGCCTCGCGAATTTTCTCGGCCGTTGGCGATAAATCGCGTATCGTTAACTCTCGGAAGTGCCGCGGCCGGGTACGTTCAACGGCGCGTTAAGCACGGACGTTTATTGACGTAATAATTTAGCGAAATTAATCTATGCGCGCGGCGAAAGATCGGCCGTATATCGGCTTAAATTGCGACAACACGCGCGAATCCGTGCGATATCGGCAAACAGCCGCGGTGGGCATCGCCATTTTCGTACGCGCCCGCGCGTGCTTCCAGCCCGAGGAATTATCACGAATGCGGTGGTTCCCGCCTCGTCCTCTCCCTTTTTGTACCAGCCTGCTGTACGGGAATTATCGCTGTTTCTCTTATCTGTGAATATGTAATTAATTGAAAATTGATACTTCCGGAAAATTTAATCCATGTGCCATTCTCTATGACTTTTTAATTGTTTGTCGATATTTTGCTTAGTCCTTTAATTAAATTTCAAGCAATTAGTTGCATTGCTTGATATTTAATTTGGACGTTTAAAACAATATTTGAAAATCCTCCGTAATTAGACCTAAATTGAAAAAAAAATTATTTTTAAATCTGTTTTTTTTTAAATCTAATATTGTAGTTTTTTTTGTATATGAAAAAAAGCTTTCGTGTTCTCGGAATAATGTAGAAAGCTCCTATCAATGGATATTTCGTGTCGCCGGGGCTTTGTTCTCACGAAAATCATGCGCGATCCCGCTGCCATTAAAAAATTTTCAAGACTATCGCGGTAGGCGTCGCCCGCGTCTCTCACGATAC